TGTTACCACTACACCACAGAGACTGTAGACTGTATCTATGTATGTTATAGATCCTTGATAATCCAGGGATTTTCAGGGATCTCTTACAGGTTCTCTTTTATATTACAACAGATTTCTGATTTATCTGACGGTATCAAGAGCCTCCAGATGCCCACATGTTGTTGTTGATTTTAGATTCAGCTACTCGGAACAAAAGTTCCAAGTAGCACGGGCTATGGTGAGCCCGTAGTGGACTTACCTGGCACAGGAGCGGGGCTGTAATCCTATGAATGCCCCACACACACACATTCCTGGTATGGCAAAGAAAGAGCAGAAGGCTCTCTTCCCCTGGTGGTAGGAATGATAGGGCGCTGAACCTGGCGTCTGTGTCTTTTGTGTTGCTCTGTTAAGGAAAAAAAAAACTTTGCGCTCGGATTGTTCTCTGTCCACATTTGTGTCCCCTGATTTTTTTTGCAAGTGGCTCAGTTCCCGCGTGTTGGGCGGTGACGCCTTTGTGCGGGTATAGGTCCTCTGTGTTGCTCCACCTCCACCCCTTTCCTGGGGAATTTTGGATGTGGTGGTCATGTCTGTTCTCTTTCATTTCTCTGTCAGTGACGTGAGATTTAACTACTTTTAGTCTTTTCTCTTTACTCATGCCTCTTAGCTGTGTATGTGTATTCACCCTAGTTGTGCTTGCGGGGGTTGAGCTCTGCTCTTTCGGCCCGCCTCTCAACTGTCGTGTGTGTGTGTGTGTGTGTGTGTGTGTGTATGTGTGTGTGTGTGTGTGTGTGTGTGTGTGTGTGTGTGTGTGTGTGTGTGTGTGTGTGTGTGTGTGTGTGTGTGTGTGTGTGTGTGTGTGTGTTAAAAAGACACATCTTAAGTTATGACCAAATGATTTTTTTGCCCCAAATTTAATGGATTTTTGAATTATTGTCATCTTGTTCTAAAGTGTTTTGGGAGTTGTTTGAATGATCACTTATTTATTATTCATTATTAATATTCAATTTGTCATTTACTAAATTAATGACAATAAATAATATTTTCTATTTCAGCCCATGACAAAGAGCACCGTCCTCTTCCTTATTTCCGCTTCCGCTACTCCTACTGCCACTGCTGTTTACGTCCCTGCTGCACATGCTGCTGCTGCTGCTGCTACTGCTGCTGATACTTCTGCTGCTGTTGCTCCTCTAGAAGCCCCTGTCCCCGTCATTCCACCGTCAGGATAGACTCAAGTTTGCTAAGTATCTTGTCTGAGTCATCCTGTGGCCCTCAGCAACTACGGGCTCACCATAGCCCGTGCTACTTGTACCTTATTGTTCCAGGTAGCGAATCTTTAACAACAACAAGTCTACTCGATAGGAATGTTCCTATACATACCTGTCACTCTGGGCAGACGGTGTGGTGATGTCCCCCACACACCTGTCACTCTGGGCAGACGGTGTGGTGATGTCCCCCACACACTGTTCACTCTGGGCAGACGGTGTGGTGATGTCCCCCACACACCTGTCACTCTGGGCAGACGGTGTGGTGATGTCCCCACACACACCTGTCACTCTGGGCAGACGGTGTGGTGATGTCCCCACACACCTGTCACTATAGGCAGACTATGGTGTCATACACACACACACACACACACACACACACACACACACACACACACACACACACACACACACACACACACACACACACACACACACACACACCTGTCACTGTGGACAGACAATCTTTTTCGTCCGACTCCTCCAAACTGACTCTGACTGTCACAAACCTGTCTGTCACTGTCACGCGCTTGTCATTGGTGGGATGGTCCAGCGGGAGCATCCTTCCTCTCCTGAAATTTGTCCACCACCAAAATTTCAACTCTTCCACCTAATTCTGTCGAGAACTCGACACGAAAATCAAATATTCCCTCTTAATATTATTTCAGAATAATGTGTTGCTAACTTTAATCAACAAACCTTAACAAACACTTCCATTTGAAAATATCCAAAATGTATGTAAACAAGAATCCCTAAATTTACACTCCATATTTATAGCGATGTAAATCAGGGTACTTTTTTTTTCAATGCAAATCCGAGTACTTTTTCAGCGCAAATCTGAGAACTTTTTTTTTTTTCAGTGGAATTCAGAGTACTTTTGTGTGAGATTACTGTGCAAAAGGGTACCACACCAGCCAATCAAAAGCATCCTCTGTGGTACTGTTGGGGTGTTTAGCTTTGTTTAGCTTAGAAAGATTTTTTCTCTCTCGTATAAACTTCGTTTTTGTAACATCTCTCTGTGCTCTTTATCTTGATCAACTGTACTGTTGCTTCCCTCTGTTGTATTCTTGCCCACACCCTGCGTTGTATTCTTGCCCTCATCTCTTGTTTTATTCTGGCTCTCACCCTTGCTCTATTCTTACTATTACTCTTGATGTATTCTTGCCCCCCCCCTCACCCGTGATGTATTCTTGCCCCCCTCACCCGTGATGTATTCTTGCCCCCCCTCCCCGTGATGTATTCTTGCCCCCCCTCGCCTGTGATGTATTCTTGCCCCCTCACCCTTGATGTATTCTTGCCCCCCCCCTCGCCTGTGATGTATTCTTGCCCCCTCACCCTTGATGTATTCTTGCCCCCCCTCACCCTTGATGTATTCTTGCCCCCCCTCGCCTGTGATGTATTCTTGCCCCCTCACCCTTGATGTATTCTTGCCCCCCTCACCCTGATGTATTCTTGCCCCCCCTCACCTGTGATGTATTCTTGCCCCCCCCTCGCCCTGTGATGTATTCTTGCCCCCCCTCACCTGTGATGTATTCTTGCCCCCTCACCCTTGATGTATTCTTGCCCCCCTCACCTGTGATGTATTCTTGCCCCCTCACCTGTGATGTATTCTTGCCCCCCCTCGCCTGTGATGTATTCTTGCCCCTCATCCTTGCTCTATTCTTACTCTCACCCTTGGTCTATTCTTACCTACTTTCAAACGCTACCTCAGTTTGTCACTCCATCAGTGTCACTCCTCCAGTGTCACTCCACCAATCACTGCCCCCCCCCAGGCCCAGGTTGAAGACAATGCTAATCTCTAACCCAGAGCCTCTTACTCCACCCAAAGCCTCCCTTCACCCTCCTACGTCAAGTCCCTTCCTAGTATACTTCCCTAGATAAAGGTATGTGCCTTCTTCAGCATACACCCGTAATATGTTCCCTTCCTTTGGGTATATCATACTGTGGAAGCTTCCTCAGCATGTTTTGTATTGTGGTGGCATTTTCAGCATAAAGCTTACCCTCTGCCTTCAGCATAGCTGGCTTCCTGGAGTGTCTTGTGGCCAGTACTCGATGCTTCATTGTTTTCCGGCGTGTGTAGTTGTGTCTTTCCAGCAGTGGCTATACTGTCTGTTGCTTTTACGCTATGTGAGGGGTAGTATCTCACTCTGCTTCATTGTTCTCTCTCTCTTTCTCTCTCTCTCTCTCTCTCTCTCTCTCTTTCTCTCTTTCTCTCTTTCTCTCTCTTCTCTCTCTCTCTCTCTCTCTCTCTCTCTCTCTCTCTCTCTCTCTCTCTCTCTCTCTATATCTCTCTCTCTCTCTCTCTCTCTCTCTCTCTCTCTCTCTCTCTCTCTCTCTCTCTCTCTCTCTCTCTCTCTCTCTCTCTCTCTCTCTCTCTCTCTCTTTCACACACACACACACACCTTGAGCACTGTTCCTGAACTGAGTTTAGGCAACCAAGCTTGTAATCTTCCATGATGAAGTTTGAAGTTTCTGACAAACATTTGTAAAAGGCTGATGATAATTTCTCTGTTGTACAGATTTTGTAAATGTTCTAAAGGTGGATCGAGCCTGTGTCGCGGCTGCATAATAAAATGAAGAACAATAAACCTAATTTTAAGAAAATGTCCAGAATATTTTGAAGAGTGTAAAGCCTCCTGGTGTGGGCTGTAGCTTTACTTATTAACTTTTGGAAGGTCTTGTTTGGCGTCTAGTAATCCTAATAATGTTTAGAAACAGATATTTGCTATCTATGGAAACGTTAATTAAACTCTAGAAAGTATAATGCGCATTTTGCAACCCGAGATGTTCTTTAAAACTTTTTTGAACTAGACTTTTTTGTGGGATATTCAAGACTTTTGATTACTTTCTCAGAGCTAATTAACGTATAGGAGCTAAGTAAAATCTAGAAAACAAGGTTGTCTAGAAACTCACTTTATATCTAGATAATGCATGAGGTAGAGTGAGTGTATGGCTGAGTATGTTATAGTGATGATGGGGGGGGGTTAGTCCCCCCATCTTGGAGAGTACAGCCCAGTCGTGAGGGGAGATACTTGTACCTCTTTTAGAGACTTCAAGTGTCTGTCTGATTCAAAGACCTTCTCCTTCCCCTCCTTCTCCTCCTCGTCATTAATACATTAGCCAGCGAGAATGAGACAAACAAAATTTAACCTCAGCTACTGTTTGTTTACTTAGCTTCTTCGTTGCCATAATCTCGAGATGTGTACGTGTGTTTGTTTACGCGTACGTATGTACGTGTGTGTGTGTACATATTTTTTTTTTTTTTGCACTGTTGTAGGGGGTTGTGGCTGCGTGTGAGAGAGTAGTGGGGGCTTGGGCAGTAGTAATGTGCAGACGGGTGTAGAGGAGAGCTTCCTGTTGTTCAGTAGTATGGATACACTCACATGTGTCTTACAGGCACACGTGCATGTCTTGCAAGCATGTGCACGAGCATCTTACACACACACACACACACACACACACACACACACACACACACACACACACACACACACACACACACACACACACATATGATATTAGAAAGAACTTTTTTAGTGTCAGAGTGGTGGACAAATGGAATGCATTAGGAAGAGATGTGGTGGAGGGTGACTCCATACACAGTTTCAAGTGTAGATATGATAGAGCCCGATAGGCTCAGGAATCTGTACACCTGTTGATTGACGGTTGAGAGGCGGGACCAAAGAGCCAGAGCTCAACCCCCGCAAACACAACTAGGTGAGTACTAGGTGAGTACACACACACAGGCTCAGGAATCTGTACACCAGTTGACAGTTGAGAGGCAGGACCAAAGAGCCAGAGCTCAACCCCCGCAAGCACAACTAGCTAAGTACACACACACGTCCTCCATATAACACAGGGACCCGGAGGCAGGCTGTGACGGGTCTCACCCAACAACACAGCCTCCTAAAATAAAAAGTACTTTTAGTAAGTATTTGGTGGAAAGTCGCAATATGTAGTGATGTTGGCCACCAGAAAGTTGACTTTTGTACTGTTAAATTTGGACATGGCAGAAACTTTGTTATCAGAAGCCTCTTCTAGCAATCCTAGGCCAAATGCACGCTATCTTAGGCCTAATATAGTACCTATATGTACTATGTTAGATCTACGAATATTTGTTTGGTTGTTAGCGTTATTTTTTTACGGACTTTATCACACTAATAGTACAAAAAGGTAGTTTACTAGTGGTCCTTCACTATATACTGGAATTTTGAACCAAATATTACTATCAGTACTATAAGTACTAGTCACTATGAGTACTATCATTTCAGGAGGCTGGGTTGTACTAAACACAGTCGACAAGAGTCATGTGGTCCATCCTTAGCCTGTGCTCGTATAATTTGGGACCGTCCCCAAAGTACATTAACATTTCATAAATTTGAATGCACTGTGTAATCACAAACGGTGCTTAATCAAATATATATTAGTGTTATATATATTATAAATGTTCCTTAAAACTTTTTTGAACTACACTCATACGTATTCAGAGTTGAATGACAAGTTTTTTCTCTGAATGCTCTGTATTCCCTCCTCCGAGGCTATGGGGTCCCTACAATTGCAGCAGAGGTGGGTACCCCCATTATAAATTGTATGTTATGAATTGTGTACATAGTTCGGCCAAGGTTAGGTTAGGTGTTGTCGTTCTATTGTTTTCATTTGCAGTATATGGCTACTGTAATAGGCTAGGGCCGGGTGATGGATTACGGGCGACGGACGTTCTCACAACTGCCTGATCCGGCGCTGCTCTCAACGTAAAGCCTAACTCAAAATCTCGATTTCGTGATTTTAGAAACCTTGAGAGCCTATGAAAAGCTTCATCTTCGTAAATATTGGGTAAATGCGCGTTAATTCGACAACCGGCTCCCGTTTATGAATGAGAAGCACTTTACTCATGTCTCGCTCACTCTGTGTTCTTAACTATTTTCGAGCATTACTTCACTCAATTCCCCTAGTCGAAGGTATGTACATCCCGTCCCCCTAGCCCGTCCCTCCAGCCCGTCCCTCCAGCCCTTCCCCCCAGCCCGTCCCTCCAGGGCTCTATTTCTGACTTCTGTTGGACGCCAACGGTTACATCACCCACTGTGTGACGTCTCGTCTTTTTTTGGTGACTCTTCTGTTGCAGAGGTACTCCTTTACCCACTGGAGCACCTTCTCTGTCACTCCTGCTCGTGGGGCGCTGGTCTCCCGTGGGAGACTGTCTGCTGGCAAGCTATGTATCATAGCAAGTGACTAGCACAGGATGTCCTCTCCTTCTTTTAGTATTCATGGTGACATCCCATACCTGGTCCCACTGCTTGTGTCGTGAGTGTGTCAGAGTGACAGACAAAGGGAGTTAGGAGAGTGAGGTAAGAGTGACTTCTACCACCACTCCACTGCCACACCTGCTTAACTCCTTAGCTCTCTGCAGCTCTGATACATAAGACTGGTCTTCCCCTGTCCCCTCTACTCCCCACTCAACTACACCCAATCGCGCCACTACTCTCCTATCCAAATTGGCACCGTCCCCACTGCACCCCATCCCACCCCCACTGCACAACGCTGCACCCCGGCCCCACCCAGCTCGGCTGCACCCCCACCCAGCCCAACAAGACGCCCTCACACTGTGCTGTATAAGAGTAAGGAGAAGAATAGTGTTCCCGTGTACTCCTGAGCGCGCATATCATATACATATCTGATGAGTCCCTAATATTAAGTGTTCGCCCTCCGGTAGCTGTGGAGGCGTCCGTGGACGCACTCTGGGGGTTAGTGTAGGGGGGGGGGGAGGATGAAGGGAGGTGGTGGGGGGGGGGTGACGAAGGCAGGAACACCCCTCCCCTCCTTCCCTCCCTCTCTCCCCCCCCCCCCTCCACTCTTCCCCGTCGCCCACTATACTTGTACATGAAATAAACTTTGATTTTAATCCAGTGTCTTTTTAATACCCGTCATATTGTTTTTGTCACTGCTTGCTTGTAACTATTTTTGTGAACGGTATGGTGTTTACCTGTGTGTGTGTGTGTGTGTGTGTGTGTGTGTGTGTGTGTGTGTGTGTGTGTGTGTGTGTGTGTGTGTGTGCACTCACCTAGTTGTGCTTGCGGGGGTTGCGCTTCGGCTCTTTTGGTGAATACTATTCCCTCCAGGCGAATACCCAGCGTGAGTGACGACGGCACCCCAGGTGAGTACACAACATGGGTGACGACACCCCCAGGTGAGGACACAACATGGGTGACGACACCCCCAGGTGAGGACACAACATGGGTGACGACACCCCCAGGTGAGGACACAACATGGGTGACGACACCCCCAGGTGAGGACACAACATGGGTGACGACACCCCAGGTGAGGACACAGGGTGGGTGACGATAAACATCCCAGGTGGCCAAAACTCGCTCACGACTCAAGAGAGAGTTCAACATAGTTTGTGCGTGTACATAGTAGCCTAGTAGTGGAAGGTAAGGAAGAAGGCAACTACTCCGTCAGGCCTTGCAACCACATACACGTGTGTCGCCAGGAGTGTTGTGTTTATCCTGTGCATGAAGGGGGAAAGTGATTGCAAATCTGCATGAATTATCATATATGTGGCCAATGTAAATAGTCTGTTAGTGGAAATTTACGCTGAGACCCGAGCCACAACCTACGCAATACAAGTACAGGCGGAGG